CCCCAAAACCCCAAAACCCCAAAACCCCAAAACCCCAAAACCCCAAAACCCCATATTAGCTCGTATAGTTGAAGTAAGTAAATAATTAACCAACCAATATGGCTAATAACGACTTCTGGACTCAAGAAGAAGCTAGATGTGACTTTGATGGTCAGTTTGATGAAGAGTCTTCTCACAGTTCGCCCAGCATCAAGATGGCAGTTTGTTTGCCTTCATGAGTTCGTCACCAAAGCAAATTGCACTCTGATCAAAAGCTGGAAGTGTTCTCGATGAGAGCATGTGAAAATGGAAAGAAGAGACTGGGGCTTCAGATCAAGAAGACTCAGAGTGTGATTGACAAGTCTGAGCCTTATTCTCAAGTTCATGGTAAGAATGTTAGAAATCCTACTTTTTGTAAAAGTTTAGTATCTTTCAATAATCTTGGTTCTCTTACTAGATAAATGAATATCTACTTTTTGAAATAATTTCTTCGTTTTTGTTAATTGTAATAGGGATCGTTTTACCTTTGCTTCGCTATATCAGAGTTATTCTGAGATTTGTTCAACAAGAATTCCAAACTTCATTTTCCGCAAGTCATTTTCCCAATAAATCATGAACTGAATTATTTGGATAATTTTAATTTACTTGATTTTTATCTGCTTTTAATGTTTCAAAACTCATTCGTTATTGTAGATCTTAAAAAATACAAACACATGAGTCCCAAAGCTTTATGGGGTAACCAAGAAGAGGTATCAACAGTAGAGGCAAGACATAAGAATCTTGAAAAAGCATTAAAAATTAGTGTGAGAGCAACTATAAAGTAAGTCTTAGGCCACTCTCCCTAATAGTGTTCTTCTGTCTTAATTTTGAATCTATCCTCCTTCGTTTTGCTAAAATCGAGATGAAAAATACTGAGAATTTTAGGATACGCTATTTTTAATATTACAACCTATGGGGATCACAAGAAGATATTCTAAGTTGATACATCTGAGTATTAAAATATTAATAGAGACTCGATATACCTCTTTATTTACAAAGTTAAATCATTCTCTTAATTGTAAAATTCATTAGAAGTCTCTTATGTTATAATAGAAAAGACATTCAAAAGCGTGTAAATTTGGACGGAGGAAATAAAGATAGAACCAATTTCAAAGATTTCTGCCAAAAACATAAGGATACTCTCTATAAAACTAGTAAAGAAGAAATTAAACAGGTAGGAAGGCAGGATCATGAGAAAGAGAAAAAGAAGAACTCAGGGCAGTCCATCAAGCAGCTTTTAGGCACTCTTGTCAAGCGCAGAAGAATGAGTTCCATTGGAGAATTTAAAGCAAATATAAACAGAAGTAACTCGGCTTTACGCAAACAAAAGAGGAGGTCAGATGATGGATACTCTATGAACCCTTTCCAAACTAGTCTGAGCCCTGTCAAGGTGAAGGATAGGTCAGCCACACTGAAGGAGGAATGAGTACTTGTAACAATGAACGACATTGAGGCGATAGAGTAAACTTAAGAGTCAATTCCACAAGTATGGACTTGGATGCTAATTAATTTTGTCATTATTAAAATCTCTTCTATTAATACTTTCTTGGGTATGCTGCAAATTTTCATAATTGATGACTAAATATCCTGCGCTTCCCATTTCTCCACTTAATAACTTCATATATAAAACTGCATAACATAATTGAAGATATCACATGCTTTAGCTCATGAATTTCCCAAATTATTTCCAACTAATTTTATTTTTGCCTACTATTATTTTTCAACGAAATATTTGAGAGTTCTTTCTGAATAGCATTCCTGCTAGACAGCCTCATCTTGGAAAGGTAAGATTATAAATTTCCTAAAAAGGCAGTATGTGAGGCACGCCTGATTTGATATATTATAATCATGGGCCTTACCTTGGCAACCGACAGCATAATATCAAGCTAAGAAAAAGACGATTTTTTAAAAGTTTATCTTGTCATAGATACTTTTCTAAATACGACTTTGTCATGTTGGGAAGTCCCTTCGAATTTTAATATTGAAATTTAGGTTATTCCATAAAGGGGACTAAATCCATAAGTTAATATAGTGATGCGAGATAGGCTTGGTTAAACATTATGTACAATATCACAGTACATACTTTAAGTTGAGCTAGAGATAGGAGAAATAATAATAGGCAAATGGTTTATTCTATTTTAAGTGGTTTAAAAATATTCTACTTTCCCCAGCTCCTAAAGCCTCAGCTTAGAGGACGGAATGATACCATAGCGTGTATCGATGCTTTGGGATCGATATCTTTAAGTTCAAGATATTCCACAGGAATTATTATAATGTTTCTAAACTTTTGAAGTTATTTTCTATAAAGGCTGAAAATCTGCAAGCTCGATATTTTAAATCCTCAACACAAAATCTGAGACCCTACCTAACTGCTTGAAGTGGCTATGTAAAATTGAAGGTGGATGTAAAGCTAGTGGCTTTATTGATAAAACTATAACTCCTAGTTATATTTTTGGCTTGCTTATAAGACCTTAACATACCCAGAGCTTTCCTCCACTCACCTAGTTTAGACATATTTATTAAATACTAAAAATATATAGAAAGTTTGTCTAAATCTGCAAGGTCAAAGAATGCTATAGTTTAGTGTACTTAACTGTTAAAAATAGCTACAGCTTATAGAAATTATATACCTCCCTTCTCACTAAGCATTCCCAGTGATTTCTTCATTAGGCTAGCTTGAGATATCACCTATATGACTCCTTTCAACGTCTCACATATGTTTAGGGGTTTTGGGGTTTTGGGGTTTTGGGG